TTGAGTGCTAAGTTAAACTCGATTGTGAAATTTATCATTAGTCGCAAATCCAATACACCGATGTTGAAAATCTATGATAATTGTGACTTTTGAACGTTGAAGAGAATAGGACAAACTTCAGTAAAACCGTACCTTAAAATATTAGTTATTCTTGTTAGAAAACTGCGGGTAAAGGAGTACGAGTCTATCTGAGCTGGATGGAGTTAAGTGCAAAAAAAGTAGAATCACTGAGCCAGTGACACAATGGTGAACTTTGAGTTCACCTTGAAATTAAGTGTGCAATTGAATGACAATTCGCAAAATAAGCACTTCTTTTAGTTCATGAAAGTTGTATTAGTTTAACTAGGACAGAGGGGAAAAGGCCGATTTGATAAAGCTTCTGCTTCTTCTTTCTGGTGCTCAGATTTGCAAAGCACCGTGTGCCAGCAACTGTCTATTGAGATGGTGAAGACGCATGCTTAGAAACTGGTCGATAATTACAAAAATGAAACTAGAATGCATTGCGCTGCGCACAAGTTACAATTTCGACCGCCTCTGACTGAACGAATCGCTCCAAGCATATCCTACCAGTAGGCTGTGAGCACTGCATTTTTGCTTTGTTTTACTCCATATATAGATATGGAGTAAAACAAATCAGTATATTTATTTGACATATCGTCTCAAGAACAAACGGCTTCGGACAATCAACTCTTATAAATACACGAAAAGTTTCTAAATCCAAAAAGCATTTTAGTTCTACTTGTGTAGCGTATGGCGCCGAATCTGAACTTATGTTTGAAAAAGAACATGCATTGATCAATCTCCAATGTCGGGAGAATACCCTACACTGGAAAGGAAAAAATTATTTATAGAAAATGCTCGACGAATTTCAAAGAATCCATATATAAAGTCCTCGAGCATTTTCTAGTTTATAGAAAATCGAAATTTCCAGTTTATAGAAATTTCTCGAATTTCCAGTTTTCATGTGAATTATTTATGGAAATTCGTCTTCGAATTTCCAGTTTCTGGGAAATTCGGTGTCGAATTTCCATAAATAATTCCCCAAATTAGTAAGCTGAGTATCACACCATTTTTCGACAGCAAAGGAATACGAACAAGCTTCTGCTCCTTAATTACTCTTTCCAAGGCTCTCTTCGACGAAAAAAAAGAAGCAAGGTGTTTTATAACATCGCTCTCGTTCTACTATGTCTATTCTTCACTGTTTCTCAATCGACTCCTCCTCCGCACCTGCTCATATGTCCAAATGAACCAATCCCATTCGATTACACTCCGCCTTTGCCTCCTGTAGATGGCAAAGCTGTATCAGAAAAGATCACAGACAATGGCATATGGTACAATTGTGAAGCACAACTTAATGGAAAAGTTATTTTTAATAAGATTCCCGTTCGTTATTACATAACGGTTCAAATGGCAAATGCCAATTGCAAACAAGCAACGTTCACGGAAGTTTATCTGACAGGAATTGCGGTTGACGTTATTGGCCCGCAATTGTTCAATATTACCGTGCCAGCCAATACGGGAAACAAGCCACGTCAACTCAATAAATCACAATCATTCAAAGGTACATTGAGCGCTATGAACGGTCCATCTCTCTTTCCCACCAATGCCACACTTGTATTTGATCAAACGAAACATCCCAAAAATGGCAAATGTCAACAAGTTAAAAGCGAAACAGTCCTACTTACCATCTATGCAGTCTTGACCACTGAAGCAATCTTACACTAAATGAACTAATTTCTTCTCCTCTCAACAACAGAAACTCACCTATAAGTATTTAATATGCTCTTCCTATTTTCTTATTATTTTATTTTCTTTTGCACTTCGTACATGCCCAGGGCGAGAGAGGCCCATCGTAAACGATCACGTGCGACGCATCACGACGAAATGTGGCGGTCGTATGCCAGCGTCGTGTACGATGGTAGCATGTGGCGAACTATAAGATAAATGTGAGCATCCTATACGAGGATTCTGCGATCGTCGCATGCGGCCATCACATTTGACGGCATACGATCGCATTTCTCTTCATAGGGATACTTTAATACTCCAGTAATTCGAAAATTGAGTTCATATTGTTGAATGGTATCCTACTCTGATATAGAATCTCAATTTTCAGCTAGACCGGATGTAAATTGAAGAAAGTTTTCTCTTTAGAATCGATTCTTCGCAACAACTTGTTAATCAGATTCCGAAGAGAAAACTTTCTTCAATTTACATCCGGTCTAGCTGAGAATTGAGATTCTATATCAGAGTAGCATACCATTGAAGAGTATGAACTCAATTTTCAACAAAGTCAAAATCAGGTAGCAAAAAATTTCGATATTGGTATGCTGTATGTACCAGGTTTGATATTTTCTGCTACCTGACTTTGAGTAAATTCTATAACTTTGCAAAGAAAGGTCATGTAGAGCTGGGAGATGTCTCATTTTTATGAGAATTTCGCGGGCTACAATCATGTCTCATTAACAAAGGTTTTGGTTATTCTGTTAGAGTTTCTGAAAAACCACGATTCTGCCATCGTCGCATGCAAATTGAGATTCTATATCAGAGTGACATACCATTGAAGAGTATGAACTCAATTTTCAACGAAAGCAAAGTCAGGTAGCAAAAAGTGTCGATATTGGTTTGTGCATGATATGTTACATATACCAATGTCGACACTTTTTGCTACCTGACTTTGCTTTTGTTGAACTTTGAGCTCATATTCTCAATGGTATCGTACTCTGATATAGAATCGGAATTTTCAGCTCGATATGACGTAAATTGAAGAATTTTTTGTCTTTGGAACCTGATTGTTTCGGAGAATAGGTTCCAAAGTGAGAAATTTCTTCATTTTACCTCCTATCGAGCTGAAAATTGAGATTCTATATCAGAAGAACACAACAAAGAAGGCTATGAACTCAAAGTTCAATAAAGTCAAAATCAGGTAGGAAAAAATTTCGATATTGGTATGCTGTATGTACCAGGTTTGATGTTTTCTGCTACCTGACTTTGAGTAATATGAAAACTAAATAAGTTGGCTTCTCTATTAGGGTGGTAGGAAGTACAGTTTCAAGTTTGTGCTTGATCAGAGGTTCTCTCACGAAGCTTTTGTTCGATGACCCCGTAGGATACGATGGTCGTATGCGACAGCATTCGGTCACATACGACGACATTCGGTCGTAGAGGATTTTTCATCACTGTTTATTTTTACTTTGAGTAGACGGTCAAATATTCCTCTTGAACTGACCCGTTCCGATGCTTCCTTGTCGAGATAGAAACTCGATTTCGTGGAAGGAAACCTTTGAGCGAGTCGACTTGGAAGGGAACATTTGATCGTCTCGATGAGTTCTATTCAAAGGTTCAACATGTTGCGTTATGGAGCCGCAGTGGTCTAATGGTTAAGATGTTTGACTCTGAACTCACATTCTCCTCTGTCAATAGTCACGGGTTCGAATCCCATCTTCGGCGCTTCCTTTTTTCTTTTTTTTCCCTTCTTGCGGGTATCGTATACGACTGCCATGAGCATCGTCGTAAGCGGCCATGCGATCACATACGATCACATTTACCTGATATACGATCGTATGCGGGGTCATATACGACCGTATGCCATCACACATATGACGGTCGTTTCTCTCGCCCTGGGTGCTCTTCGTTTTTTCCTACTCATTTTCATTCGTTAGTTTCTACCTTATTCTACTCATTTTTTCAACGTTAAATAAATTCAGTAATACATATATGAAATGTTTAATAAGTTGCTCAGCTGAGTTTTAGACAATACACCCCTTTGGGAAGGGGTCTCTTTCGACGATACTATAATCCCAACCGCTTAGCAGCAAGGAGGTTCATAAGTCAAAACAAAAACTAATGCTATTTTCTTGGTGCATTTTTAGTAGATAGCAGAAATGTTAATTATGTCTATTTTCAGTTGTTCGATTTTGAAATAGCCTGACACTCTTTCTGCAAACTTCATGGACAATTTTATCATTAAGTAAGAGAACAAAGAATTACGTGAGAGCAGACAAGAAGTCGACCGCATTTGTCCTTGTGCGATTGATGATGTCGGCCTGCCTTACATCCGCCACACCTCCAGCACACACATGGGAACAGGCCAGTGTTGTTTGACATTTTTAAGGAACGTCCTTTGTTGAAAATGTTTTTAAAAAATCCTTTGTGGATGGATTCAGGCAATTTACAAAAACAAAAGAGCTCAAAACGAAAGTTATTTCCTGTCCCTTGGTGACCAAATATGGGACTTTAATTGAGTCAACTTCGAGATAGACTTTGATTACTCTAAAATGTGATTTTCAACTTTTCGAAAAAATAGCCTTTTTTTTTGATAGTTCCTCTTTCCGCTTCTCTTACACGTGCGCGGCGGGCGGCATCATTTAACTTTGACCGTTTGTAGAGCTCGATAGTGGCTACATTTTGACATGCAACAAGGTAAGAAAACAATTAGCAGACGATGGCCACAGAACGGCTGGAAATACACTGACCCGAGTTTTCGAAAAACTTTTTTGTTTTGTTTTTCGTACAGATCCTGTCAGGTTCGATATATGATCTATTACGGTTTCCAGAAATCTGTGAGAAGAGCTTGACTACATTTTGTAAGATATGTGCTCGCCTCTCTCATAGAATAAAAACACGGGCTATTCTTATGCATGGTTTTATTAGCAAAAATCCATACTTTCCATAACATAGTCAAAATGTACAGAAAATCAAAATCTAAACTTAAAAAACTATCAACCGTAAATTAACGGTGTAAAAACGGTACATTAACGCTGATCGTAAACGGCGTATTTTTATACCGTTTTTACACCGTTAATGGGCCGTTTACACGCCGTTAACGGACCGTTCGGTTTGGCCTGGGTAGGCAGAAATTAAAAACTTCTTTTGTTAAACAAATACAAACAAAAAGAAAAGAAGTATATTTAAGGTGGCAAATTAAAGTATTTGTATACAAAAGATTGAACTAGTGTTGATGTCTTTTTTATAAAAGCTATATTGCTGTTTTTGAATGTTGATGAAGTTAAGAACGTCTATATTTGTGTGATGTGCTCTGTCAGCAGGTCTTCGAGAAAATCTACTGTTTTTGCGGAAATCACTCGCTCTATACCATTCCCTCGTTGGCTGGGTAGCAATCTGATACGCAGTCCAGGTTTGTTGATAGACAAGTGCCTCAGGAGAATCAGAGAGATGCATAAATAACCTTAACCAATATCGTAATAAGTAATCTCTAAGAGTCAGTTCTCTAGATAATATCATTGTTGTAAGATCGTGCCAGTTCCACAATCTGTATATGAGTCTAAGCCCTGTGATATAAAGATGTTCAATTTGAAGTTTTTGCTTCTCAGTGAAATAGAAAAAAATTGGAAAGAGTAAACAGAAGTGGGGTAGTGCATATGCAAAAAAAAGTTTTCTTCTCATAGATATGTGTGACTTTGGTATAGAACGGAATTTTATACTTATTGCATTGTAAATTTTACGTATTTTCCTTAATCTTCCTAAAATATATTCATTCCAATCCATTTTAGTTCGAATTTCAACGCCCAAATACTTAAAAAAATTTATAAAAGCAATCAGTATTCCTTTATATGTGAGTTGCGGTTTCTTGGGAGCTACAACGCTGTGAACAAGGAGCGCTTTCGTTTTGGGGATATTTACAGGTAGAATATTGTCGTCTGAGAATTTCTCTAATGCTTTTAACACAGTTTGCGCCCGTTTTTCAAGATCCTCGATATTGTGTGAAAAACGCTTCTCGAGGGATCCAGTTAAAACAATAGCTAAATCATCTGCAAAAGGTGTGATATTGCTTGAAAGAAGCATTGCGGCAAAAAATGAAGATGAAGACGAAATAATGTTGCTGCAAGAACTGAGCCTTGCGGAGTCCCTACATGCATTCTTATAACACGCGACATTATATCACCATAGTGAATAGAGAAAGATCGGTCCTGAAGCCATCCATAGATCCATTTAAGTAGATCACGTGGCATGTCAAGCTCATATAAATGTTTTATTAAAGCCGGATACCAAAGTTTGT